CTCGAGTTGTATTGTTTACAGTTGGTATTCTTGTCTTGTTGTTGTCGTAGGGATGTTGATTTTCCTTTTCCTTTGAGAGTGTGAATGGGTCTTTGAAGTTGACTTCTCTCTATGGCTTTTGAAATGATATATACTGTATTCCGTTTCGAAAATGATTTCAACTTATACTATTTATATATGCTATTTAACGCGTATTGATGGGTTACAGCAATGTTCGCTGACTGGGTGTCATCTCCTATCTTTATGTTGCCTTACATGTTTTGAGTAGCATCTTGGAGAGCGCACTAGCAGATCGTTAGTTAGTGTAGCTCCTTGTGGCTTGTTTTAGTTAGACTTGTGGCCTGTGAGCCGTGGATTTTTATAAGTATGACATTGACGTTTTGTTTAGATTTAGTCTGTGCACCTATAGATGTGTAGGTGTGGCATAACATCTCATGTACTTGTTTATTAGCTTCCACTTTAATTTAATCTTAATGAGTAGACTTTATCTCTTCCTTAAGCCTTAATTGGTTTTAAAAGTTGTTGAAAATCGGGGGTGTTACAATTCTTATCTTTTAATTTTTAATTGGACTATAAATAGTAATTGACTATTGATCTTTACCAATTTAAAAATTACTAAAGAATATTAAAGAAAATAAACAATGAAGAAAAAGTTGATTTAATCAATAAATTATAGGTATGACAGATAAAATGTGAGAGATGAAATATTATTTAAAAGTGTCACTATCACTTCTTTAATTAATGAGAGTTTAATATTATGATTTGAGTATTATTCAGTGAATAAGTCCTTAATAGCGTTGGTGTAACCTATTACCTACTTCTTGAATTAATGTTAGTTCACACTATGATTTGAGTATTATTCATTGTTATTCTTTAAAAGTGACATGTTCATATGCTTCTTTAATTAATAATTATTGTTTGTATTATACAATAAAGAAGTCCGATCCTTAATAGTGCTACTATTAAGTGCTTCTTTAACCAGTACTGCTAGTTGACTTACTTTAGTGTTACATTATTCAATGAATAAGCCTTTGATAGTACCGCTATAACAGGGATCGTTCTTTAATTAATGTTAGTTCAGTATTACAGTACGTCAGTATGTTTGAACATTATTGAATGATAAAGCTAGCCCTCAATAGTCCCGCTATGGTGTGCTTTTTTGAATAATGTTAATTCGTAATATGATTTGAGTATAAAAGTTTGCCAATCATATATTTTCTTGTTTCTACAAGAAAGGGAGAGGGGCATAGTTTGCAAGAAGTTTGGTGTTTTTAAAGAAATAATCTGGATTTGAATGGGGGGAGTAAGAGGGAAATGGAGGGTTGTGATGTGTTTTCTCTTAGGTTCATTAGTTTTGGTTATAGCAGAGGGGAGCTTGAAGAAGGAAGCAATAGGAAGCATCAATGATGCCAATGACTATTCAGACGTCTCAACGTTTGTCAAGTCATTGACGGAGCCTAAAGCATCCGGTCACGGTCACAATCACAGTCACAGTCATCACGGTCACGTTTGGCCGGTACGTATTTAACATTATCGGATGGGATTTGTTAGTGTGTGTTTGGTTGGTGAGTTTTGCCCATATGAATGGGTATGAAAATGATTGTTGTTGTTTGGTTGATAGGTTTTTAGAACACTACTATGGGTTTCGAATACCCCATCAATTGAAAAACTCATACCCAAATACAATAAGGGTTTCATTACCTTATTCATTTTCAAGCACTACTATTAGTAACCATTCTCATTCCACCCTACTACCAAACATGTTAAATACTTTCACCAAAATCCATTACCATTACCAAGTATTTGATACACACTCCGATTCCGATTCCTATGTGCGAACCAAACACACCCTTAATTGTCTTTCAGAAAGGAAGTTAATTAATTAGGCACTGATTCTGCGCTACATATGTACGTACTTTGCGATCATTAATTGAGTGCATGCATAATGTTGGGTGGAGGCTGATAATACGCCAAGTCCAACAATTGATGGTTAGGAGATTATTAGACGGAGCAAATTATACCATGGAAATGTCTACCTTGTTTTATGAATTTTGATCCAAAATAACCTTCATTATGTATGTGTCCACAGTTGAGATATTATTTGTCTGTAAATAAATTGAAGACACATAACATGTTAACTTCAGACACATAAAATGATAATTATAGACACATAAATTGTTAACTGTAAATGCATATATAATATATTAATTGCAGACACATAAATTGTTAACACATATTATGTGTCTGTCATTAGCGTATTATATACCTGCAGTTAACAGTTTATATGTCGGTAATTAACCTGTTATTTGCCTTCAATTTTTTACAGATACATAAACGGTTAACTGCAAGTACAGAGTATATCACTGCAGACACATAATTTTTGGATCAGGGTCCGCAATGTAAGATAGACCCTCGTCCATGCATGGTACAACAATTGGTTAGGCAGAGGTCGGTGAATGGTCAAGTCCAATACTGTACATCTTAAAAGTGCATGTGGTGGTGGTATATAAAGAAATAAAGTTGAATGCGCTTTTGTTATGAGTTATAACTTTTGGCGTAGTAGTAATGGTATGATACTGAAGCATAATATATAATGCAGGAACTGAAATTTGGATGGAAAATTGTAGTGGGCAGCATGATAGGATTTTTGGGGGCAGCATTTGGGAGTGTTGGGGGTGTTGGAGGGGGTGGCATATTTGTGCCCATGCTTACTCTTATTCTAAGATTTGACCCAAAATCTGCAACTGCAATTTCAAAGTGTATGATCACTGGGGCTGCAGTTTCTACTGTTTACTGTAATCTTAAGCTCAGGCATCCCACAATGGACATGCCAGTTATTGATTATGACTTGGCTGTGCTGATGCAACCAATGCTACTGCTTGGGATTAATATTGGAGTTGCTCTCAATCTCATCTTGGCTGACTGGATGGTCACAGTTCTGCTAATTATTCTCTTCACAGGTAATTAAGCTCCAAGTGTATTAGTCATGTATGTAGAAGGTCCTTGGCGCTAAAGGGCGCTTAGCTTCTGGACGGGCAGGTAATAATAATAAGAAAAATACAGGTACACATTGCATACAAAAAAAAACACACACACACACAATTGACCACTGTTGCAAAAATGGAGTAATAATAAGAAGAAAAATGGGAAAAAGACTAGAATGTGCGGTCAACAAGCCCAAATTCCCAAAATGTGTGGTATTTTTTTTTTTTTTTACAATAATATGCAAAACTCCTTTCGGAGTTGCGTTTTTGGTGTATTTTGTATTTTTCATGTATTTGTGTAAAACGCAAGAGGCAGTTGCGTTCACGTATTCGTATACATAAAACGCAATACGCTCTTGCGTTTTTCAGCGCATACGGTATCCCCCAAAACGCAACTTACATTTGTGTTTTACGTATTATACGTAAAACGTAAAACCAAGTTGCGTTTTTGTCATTTTTTTGTACCGGCCATTTCCGACGAAGTTGAAGGCCGGCGAGAACCACAAAACGCAATTCGCATTTGAGTTTTTGGTTCGAATAGGTAAAACGCAAGTTGTAAATGCGTTTTTTAAATGTTAAAATTTTCCGGCCACTTTCCGGGCGAACCAACCTAAAACGCAATTGGGAGTTGCGTTGTGTATTGTTGCAGGTGTGTGATGTGCATGGGGCCGTGTTGCAGGTGTGTGTAGTCACCTCAGCCCAGAGAAAACGCAACTCCAAGTTGCGTTTTCTTATGAAGTTATATTCGATTCTTTAAAAAGTTCATATTTTTCGTGTGAGTTCAAGAATTTGAGACATTAAATTGAATACCAGGTGATTCTTGAATCGTTAAGAGTAGAGAGGATAGACTGGGGGAGTTGAATTTGTTGGGTTGGAGAATTGGAGGTTGGTTTTGTAGTTGGAAGTCTATGATAGTGTTGAGATAATCTGCACAAAGAGCAATGGCTAGCATGACTTCCCTTGTGAATTTGGGAAGCGCTTGCAGCTATTCTTCAGGGCAGTTTGAAGGGTCGTCTGGCTTGGTGGGGAGCATTTCCTTTGCCAAGAATTTTAGGAGCTTTCGAAGAATTTGGGTTGGGAAGAGATGGCCATACGTGTCTGTTTGTAGGTTCTCGGTCACTGCTGATTTTATTGCTGATCAAGGAACTTCGATATCATTGGATTCATCGCCTAGAAGTAGTGGGGATGATGCTAATGCTAATGCTAATGCTGATCTTTTACTCAAGCCTGCTCCAAAACCTCAATTGAAGTCAGGGCCAAAATCTGTCCTTTCAGGGGCGAGTTCAGCAGATTGGAATGGAGCAAAACGTAGCCCGGATTCTGATGATGACAGCAGTAGTGATGGAGAAGACAAAAGCAAAGTAATCGAGTCTCTAGGAGAGGCACTGGAGAAGCTAGAGACAAAAAAGAGAATGAATGCCGCTATTAAGAAACCACTGGCCAGTGCAAAATTCTCCGACGATATACGCCGGTAAAGACAACGCATTTGGGTCTTGCGTTTTAAGTATTTAAAAGTATAATACGTAAAACGCATCTCCCAATTGCGTTTTAACGTATTTCATACGTATTGTGAAAACGCAACTGGGAGATGCGTTTTTCGTATTCAATACGGAAAACGCAACTACCAGTTGCGTTTTACGTATTTAACGAAAAAAAAAAATATGGATTAAATACCTTCAAAAACGCAACTCGCAATAGAGTTTTGCATATTTCTGTCAAAAAAAAAGTCAGCACACATTTTGGCAAATTCTCACCCCATTCTACACATTCTAGTCTTTTTCCCGAAGAAAAATACAGGTACACATTGCATACAAAAAAAAAAAAAAAAAAAAAAAACACAATTAATAGGCGCCCTTAGACCGTGGCAATTTTCTTCCTAGGCGCCCGCCTAGCCCCTAACTTGGCCGCATTGGCGCAGTCGAGTTAACTCGGTTGGCTCGGCCTTGCTATATTTTTTCATTATAGTTGGATTGCACATTAATGGTTATATGCTCAACACGCCCCCTCACGTGTACGATGGGTTGGGTTCCAAGCAACATGCCCATGACCTTTAGTCTGGCTCTGATACCAAATTGAAGCATGTGCTCCATCTCAAAGTCTAAACTTATAGTTGGATTGCACATTAATAGTTATATGCTCAACAGGTGGTACTATACCGCCCAACTAGTGCCTAGCGCTTATTGCAATCATGCAATTGACCGACTCAGGGGCCTAGTACACCGACTAATGTCTACCTAAGGATAAAATCCCCTCGACGGGCCTAGGTGCGTCTAGCGCTTGCCTAGGTCAATTTTTGTAACATTGGTATTAGTTGATGAGTTGAATGCATTATATTCTTGCTCAGATTAGTCTTCTGATTCTCCCTGCTTCTTTCAGGCTTATCAACCTTGGCCTTTCTGAGAGGCGTGGCGTCTTGGAAGAAAGAGACTAAGCTGAAAAGGGTTATCATATATATACATATATATTCTAGCTGTTTCTTTCATCCCTCCTGATTGATTTTGCTTTTATGTTTTCTGATCATTATTATGTTTTTGTTTTGGGTTTAGGAGGCTGCTCTACCTAGCTGTGGTGAGTAGTGACCTATATATGTCTTTTTGGTGCAGCATGCATGCACTTTAAACCATTATTATACCATGGATTAGGGTTCATACTGAATTGTGAGCCCTGGTCTAAAAATTATGTGTCTGAAATTAACACATTCTGTACATGCAGACTGTGTACTTGCAATCAACAGTTTATAGTACAGAAATTGTCAACTGGAGTTAACAGTTTACATGTATGTAATTATTATGTTATATGGTTTCAATTTATTTACAGGTAAGAGCAGGATTTACAATGCAACATAAACCCTGGTCCATAGTATAATTTGCCCCTTTTAAAGGGCTCTTGCCTTGTTCGTACAGGGTTTGAATCTATCTCGTTCAAATGAAAGTCAGTCACCACGGGTTGATGATGAAAGTTCTTTTTTTAAAGAATCAATGTCTAATCATTGAGTTCGATCTTATGACCATCATTTAAAAGAGTAACAGATATATCATCAGTTCATCACACTATATAGTAATTTGGGATAAAAAATTATTTATATGTTTCCATGTTGCAATAAATCTATCAGGAGGAACATATCCTGGTGGTCCCATCACTTGCACTCAGAGGAACGCTAAGGTATGTATCTCCATTATATTTCTACCTAGATCTTTGTTTATATATATATATATATATATATATATATATATATATATATATATATTAGTACTTGTCCCGTGCTATGCACGGAAAATATATATTGTAAAAATATATGTTATATTATTATAATTATATATTATTAAAAATTATATCAAATGAGCATAGTGTTACTATTATTTATTAGTTATAAAAAAAATTTATTATAATTTCATATATACATATATAAAGAATGTTGTTCATATATACTTTAAAGATAGAATTAACATTTGATCAATTTAATTTATAAAATAGTCCTAACATTTGTAAAACTTATATAAAATCAATGAAGTATAAGGTCCTACCTACAAATGTATAATTTATTTAGCTATACTATATTATTATAACACCCACCAACAAAAAAAAAAAATTATTATAACAATTTAGTATATAATTATATTACAAATACCTTATGTATAAATACATCAATCCACACAATTAAAATCTGACCACACAATTAATTGAATTGCTTAATAATTAAGCTTTTTTTTGGGCCTAAACATATATATAATTTTAATTTATATATGACTTTAAAGTTGTAGTCTTGTAGAACATGGAATTATTTGAATTTTTGTTTCTCTCAATTGAACAGTTTATCTCATTTAATTTTAGTCTTGAGGATTGCAAAAGTTACTTTAGTTGCATTCACACTTATATTTATGTGCAACCTTTCAAATTACAAACATATAAATTTATTGTAATTAATTATTAATTTAAAAAAAAAAAAAGTTCCAATTCCAATACACATGGGATGACAAAAAGTTCAAAATGTAATTAATACCAACATTTAACCATTAATACCAACATTTATTTTTCACCAGACTATACAACTTTATTATAGTTAAAATATATATATATATATATATATATATATATATAATTTCAAGCCTAATGAAATATTTTCAATTTTAGGTGTGCATTCTTGAGAATGTTTACTGGAAGCAATTTGGGCTTATCTATTTTGTTTGGGTTGCATCTCTTGCTCTGCAGATCACCAAGGTTTAATTTGTACCCCCCCCCCCCCCCCCTCCCAACCGCGCAAATTATGCCGTGGAATCGTGTTCACCGAGAATGGTGAACACAAGTCAAAACGACGTCGTTTTTAGGCAAAAAAAAAAAAACGCGGATGTGGAGTTAACGGCGCGTTACTGATCAAATTATGAATTTTCTGTTATGAGATTATGAATTTTATGAAAATTCATAATCTCATAACAGAAAATTCATAATCGCATAACAGAAAATTCATAATCTCACAACTGAAAATTCATAATCTCATAACAGAAAATTCATAATCTTATAACAGAAAATTCATAATCTCATGGTTCCAAAGTGAATGTGTAGGCATGGTTCCAAAGTGAATGTGCAGGCATGGATTCATAATTTATGAATGTACGTGATTTCGGACGGGAATATGTAGGCATGGTTCCAAAGTGAATGTGCATGCATGAATTCATAATTTATGAATGTCCGAAACTCCGAAATTATGAATGTAATGAAAATCCATAATCTCATAACAGAAAATTCATAATCGCATAACAGAAAATTCATAATCTCATAACTGAAAATTCATAATCTCATAACAGAAAATTCATAATCTCATGGTTCCAAAGTGAATGTGTAGGCATGGTTCCAAAGTGAATGTGCAGGCATGGATTCATAATTTATGAATGTACGTGATTTCGGACGGGAATATGTAGGCATGGTTCCAAAGTGAATGTGCATGCATGAATTCATAATTTATGAATGTCCGAAACTCCGAAATTATGAATGTAATGAAAATCCATAATCTCATAACAGAAAATTCATAATCGCATAACAGAAAATTCATAATCTCATAACTGAAAATTCATAATCTCATAACAGAAAATTCATAATCTCATGGTTCCAAAGTGAATGTGTAGGCATGGTTCCAAAGTGAATGTGTAGGCAGTCACGTAATTAATTAATTAAAAAAAAAAAAAAAAAAAAAAAAAAAAAAAGAAAGATAACGGTGCACTAACACCGTTGGAACTGTGTTCACCATGAATGGTGAACACAGTTACATGGCATAACGTCTGCCCCAACCTTAGGTAGCTAATAATATATTTGAAAAAGTGCCAAATAATGCAATTCTTTGAATTAACTCACTTTCCTTGTGTTTTGGCATCAGAATTATTATACAACTTGCTCAACTCTGTATTGGGTGGTGAATTTGTTACAGGTATGGTATGCGATTTAATCAATATTTTCTATTTTTCACTATATCCATACGATTTCAATTCGCTCTCAAAATATAATATAATATAATATAATAATAATAATAATAATAATAATAATAATAATAATAATAATAATAATAATAATAATAATAATAATAATAATAATAATAATAATAATAATAACGTTATTTTTAAAAATTGGGCCCCGTGAAGCTAGTGGTGTGAAATTTGCAAAAATTACAAATTTTGTAATTGTTGCAATATATACACTTAGATTTAGAAAAGAATTACAAAATTAAGTAAAAGTATACATGTCAACCTGTAATTCACACTCATTATTGGCATACGTATGGATAGTTTAATATTCACTTCCTGATATGACAATAAAATATCTTTCATTAATTTGTTATTGTGAATTGATTTACCACACCCACAGTTAAAATGGAATAACTTATTAATGAAATATAGAAGTAATCAATCAAATATTGTCACAAAAAGGGTAAAACCAATAGAGGAATGTAGCATTAGTACTAATTTGATTGTTAAATATATTCTTTTATAACTCATGGTTGGTTAACCAATTCATGACGACCACCTAATAAAAATAAATAATTTTATTTGTAATATTGGACGATGAACTTAATTATGAGATAAACTTCACATGTCACTATAAGATCAAATCGATGAAATTTGGCGAATAATCCTCTAAAAATTTAAAAAAAAAAATTAAAAATCGAACTCCTAGCACCTTTTTCAACACTGATCACAATATGTATATAATGATGTGGCATGCAGATCCCAGTTTGTTTTGGGGTGAGTTTGTTTGAAGCATTTGGGCTGTACAAAGGGTGGAGAAAGATTTCATCCAACAATGATTCAACCTCCAAGTTGCGAGCATGGCAACTCATTATTTTGTGCATCTTTGGAATAGTTGCTGGTACGGTTGGAGCACTGCTTGGTCTTGGTGGAGGCTTTATTATGGGTCCTCTATTCTTAGAGTTGGGTGTCCCTCCCGAGGTGAGTGAGTTTATGGTATATACCCTATTTTATGTGCATGCTTGATTTCAAATTCCTACCTTATTATTAACAAAATTAATAAAGTTTTTGTTCTATATACTTATTCATTGAATGAAGAAAAGAAAATGAATAAAAAATGTGATCTATTTTTTTTTTTTTTTGGATCCATTAGAATACATCACATGATGAGCATGTAATATGTCGGCATGGACTTAATTCACTGGCCGATTCAGTATGTAATATTTAGAGAAGAAGAGACCAATAATGTTCGAAACTTAACAGTATGCCCAAAGTAGTTAGATCCACTTGCCCTTGTGCACACTGACATTTGGCATTTTCTGCTGAGCCACTGAGTCACCACCGGGGTAGTGTGGATGCCCTTAATTACAGTGTTTGGTTGGAGGGGATTACAATTCTACCGAATTGCAATTCCTTATTTTGTTGAATTGCAATTCGTACCCTCCCCCATATGAATTGCAATTCAATGGGAAAGGAAAGGGAAAAGGGAGGAAAATGACTTTTTTACCCTTGATTATTATTAGCATTATTATTACACCTGGTGACAAGGACATTTTAGTTTTTATACCACTTCTCCCATTCTCATTCCCAATAATTCTATTCCTTTCTACCAAACAATGTAATTTGAATTCCTACTTTATTCCCACCTTATTCTTTTCCTACCGAATTACAATTCATTTTCCTCCTAATTCCTTCCTTCCAACCAAATGCCTTGTTAGGGTTAGGGCCGGATTCAACTACTTAACAAAATTTACAATTACGTAATTGTACTCTATGTTTTATGAATTTTATATATTACTTTGTTTTATAATAGTGTACTCTCCAATCTCCTTCCTCTCCTCCCTCCTATATATCTCCAACAAAGCACATAATATAGTTTTATAAAACACACATCATTATAAAAATTTTCCTTTACGCCCCCTCAGGGGTGTGTCGATTACTTTTGATGGGCTCCAAGCAACACGTGAACCATAGTTTATCGGGTGATGCGGAAATTCGAATGCATGACCCTCGGCATGGGTGATACCAATAAAGCATGTGCTCCATCTCAACTAAAAAAGATGGGCTCAAGCAACACGTGAACAATAGTTTATCGGGTGACGCGAAAATTTGAATTCATGACCTTCGGCATGGCTGATACCAAAATAAAGCATGTGCTCCATCTCAACTAAAAAGCTAAACTAATAGTTAGATTGCACATTTATGTTTATATATATTATTATTATATGCTCAACAGGTAGAACTTGATGTTTGAAGAGATAATACATATAATAGAATCAGCAGTTTAATGTTTGAATATATATTTCCTCCTTTTGTATTTTAGGTTTCAACCGCCACATCTACCTTTATAATGGTGTTCTCCTCATCAATTGCTGTGGTACAATACTACCTTCTCAAGCGTTTCCCGGTTCCTTACGGTATATATGCCTTCTGCCCATCTCCAAATCACAATAAACTTAACGTCTTTAATTAATTTGCATCTAAAATTAGAGTTAAATTCAGTACAAACTTCAAATTTGATTTTACCCATTTGACTTTAAAAATAGATAAATATGTTACACGGCTTTCACATGTCACACCACATTAAAGCTTCCAATTTGTTAGGCGTGAAGAAGGGAAAAAGTGTATGACTTTTTATCCAATTTTCTATCATAACTTGATGAATAATCTAATCGGGTCCAGTGTATGAAAAGTTTTGTTCTTTAAAAACTACTCTGTAAACAATAATAATATTAAAAATAAATCAAAATTGAAATAGTAATCAATCAAGAAACCAACTTACCAACATCTATCTCTAATTAAATTAAGAATATATTTCACTTTTAGTCCCTTGACTATTATACATAAATCACATTTGATCCTTAACTATTAAAATTTTCTGATTAAATGGATGATAATGTAATTTGTATCATATTTGGTCCTGTTATCTAATTTTCCGACCAACTATTGCCGAAAGTGCTCTTTCTGAAAGAAGCAAATGCAGTGCTCCTTCTAGAATGAGCACTACTTCCGGCAATAGTTGGTCATGAAATTGGACAACAGGATCAAATGTAATACAAATTACATAGCTATGCACCTAATTAGAAAATTTCAATAGTGAATGATCAAATGTGATTTATGTATATATAATAGTCAGGGGACCAAAGGTAAACTTTTCTCTTAAATTAAGCTGCTAACTTTTTTACAGAGTTTTCATTTTTTATCTTAGATTTATAAGTAACATCCACTTTTGGTCCTAGTATTATTGTGGCATGACCATTTTTTGTTATTTATCTACAAAACAGTTTAAATATCGTTAAATACAATGACATTTTGATCTTTAATTATGAATTTTTTTTTTAATAAAAAATATGGCGGGTCAACCTACTTTGTATTTAAAAAAAATCAAAATGTATTTGTAGTTAACGATATTTCAACGATTTTGTTGACAAATGACTAAAAAAATGATCATACCACAATAACATATACTAGAATCAAATGAAGATGTTATAATAAAAATAACTAAAATGAAGTGTCGCCTATAAATCTAAAACCAGAAATAAAATGTACTTTTTCTCTATATTTGTATTTGTAAAGTTTACTTATGGTGTGTGATGTATTATATTATTACAGGTGTGTGCTTAACTGTGGTGGCAACTTTTGCTGCATTTGTTGGACAACACGCAGTGAGGAAGGTGATTGCGGTGTTAGGGAGAGCATCATTAATCATCTTCACTTTGGCCTTCATAATTCTCATAAGTACAATCTCATTAGGTGATCGCCCATTTATTATCAATATTTCTTTTTTCAATCTTCTTCTTCTTCTTCTTGTCTATTTATTAATTTAATAAAATTTGGTTAAATATATAGGTGGAATTGGGATCTCCAACATGATAAAAAAGATTGAGCACCATGAAAACATGGGCTTTGAAAGCCTCTGCAACTACAACGCCTAAACCACTGTCTTGGCTCAACATCAGATCATTTTCCTTAAAGATGAGATTCAGTAAAAGATGACGGCTAAATCATGTTCTAGGAAGCCAAGAACCCCATCTGGTGGCTCATATTTATAGACATTCTCCAGACCCTCCCTGAACGGTGAGTTTGGGTGGTTCAAATCGAACTTGTTTTGCACTTTCTTTTTGGAAATTCCATTTTTCTGTGTTCGCTGTTAACTTCGTAAAAAAAAAAATCATTTTTAAAAATGTACATAATTATATAATAGAATATAAATAAATTTTTAACTGTTAAAAAAAAATCGTGTGTTCGGATGTTCATAATTGTATAAAAATATATATATAATTGTATAAAATAATGTACATAATTGTATACCAAAATGTACGTAATTGTATAACATAATGTACATAATTATATAACAGAATACACATACACTCTTTTGCACCGACTTCTCACACAACTTAACAAAACAACATCATTTTAGGAAACGCAATGCGCACATTGCTATGTGCACCGTGGTGCAGGTATAACGATTGTCTCTTTTCTAGTTAATAACATCCAAGTGCCATATTTTTACTTAGGCACTTGAGGAGACTTGACTTGAGCCATGACTGGAGGTATGGCAGCCCCTTCATTGTCTCCCTTGCCCCCTTGACCACATTGCTCAGACCTATGTCCATAACAGGCACAGCTAAAACAGACAAGATGAATCTATCCCTTCATATTCTATAGGTCATTCCTTGTGATCCAGAATGAATTTCGACACCAAAGGTTTAGTGATATCTATTTCAACGCAAACTCTTGCGAATTTTTCTTTGAAAATCAAACTAGTTGCAGTGTCAATCTTAATGGGGCGGCCAATCTTCTTGAGAAACTCTTCCTCAAAGTACTCAATGGGTAAGGAAGGAAACCGAATCCATACTAGCAGCTTTCTGGTCATGTTGTTCTTGGGGTCGAAATTTGGCTCCCATTCTTGAACAACCACATAGTGGTCCAGGATCATCCAGAGACCTTCATACTTAGCGAAATTGTAATCTCTCAACGATTCAAACTTAGCAAGGTTGTAGTCTTGACTCAATGCAATCAATTCGAATGGAGCTTCCGGTTTCCATATCTTTTGCAATCTTTGGAGAAAGTACGAGTAACTCACCGTTCTACCCAGAATTGAAGACAAGGGAACAACACCAAGGCCGACGAAGCCTTTCTTTTTCCTCTTTCGTGACTATTATAACGGGATATTCAGACGCAACTTCATCTTCCTCCTCCATCTTGTTGTCGTCGGATACTTCCTCTGCCTCAAGCTGTCGATTCACTACTTTCTGCGCCCATGATTGATGAAGATTTAGAAAAGAAAAATAGGATATAAACTCGCATAAATACCAATACAGCCCTGCCATATGCATCCTCAAATCACTCGCTAATATACATGAACTTTTATTAACTCATGATAAGATTGGTTTAATTTATAAATAGCCAATGAAAATAAAAATAAATTTCTATTATATAGAAAAGTAGACATCAAATAGCGAATTTAAGAGAGAATAAGTTTTGTTTTTCCACTAGTTCCAATGAATTTGGTTACACTGGAACATAAATAACAATCACTTGGCACCAAATCGCCACTTCAATGGAGGATAATACAATAACTGAACTGATAATCAAATCACACAGCCACAAAGGACCAATCTAATGGAGGGCAAATAGAAGCGAATCAAATGGACAAAAAGAAACTATAAAATGGATGAGAGAGAGAGAGAGAGTCTTTGGATTCACATGTGGGACTGGATTGGAAATCTATCAAGAAAAGACAAGTTCACTGCTATGGTATAACTAATGCTAAACCGGGCAACATGTCATCATCCGAGTGTATGTCGAGCGTGGAGCAAAATTTAGTAGCCGTTCTTGAAACGCCAAGGAGCTTAATTATCTTGGAATACCCATTCACTCGAGATAAAAAGTTGTACGGTAAAGATTTTAAACTCCATACTTGCAAAGGTTCTCGAAGCCCATGTATTCATGGTTATGAATCTTCTCTATCATGTTCGAGATCCCGACACCACCTGTTCATTCAATTTCCATTAAATGTGGATGAAAAGAAGACAACTAAGGAATCATGAATCATTCTTAGCTTGCAAGATGGATGGATCCTCAAGTCTCACCTAGCGAGATTGCACTCACAAAAATTGTGAATGCCAGGATGAAGATGATCAATGATGCTCTTCCTAACACCGCAATCAACCTCCTCACTACGTGTTGCCCAATAAAAGCAGCAACTGTTGCCACCGCAGTTAAGAACAGAGCTGCAATACAGGTGCCACCAAACTTAAGTGTTCACACACTGATTGATATAATAGTGGCAAATATACCAATTTTGATCCCACACGAGTATTAGCAAAATGACAGTTTTGATCTATACATGTTTAATTCCAACAAATTTTTCAGCCACAAATATTGTTTTAGTGCCAAAATTATCACGCCGGTCACCCATCTGTTTAGTACATGCCGAAATCTAAAATTATTAAGAGTATTTTCGTAATTAAGATCCCAATTTGAGCATGAATAAAGGGATTTAAGTCCTAAGATCCCAATCCGCAGTTCTCCTCATCATCCTTCTTCTCCTTCTTATTCATTAAGAAGGATGAGGATGAGAATGACAAATTGGGATCTTAGGGCTTAAATCCCTTTATTCATTTCATATTTGAATTGAAATCTTAATTATGAAAGGACAAAAATACTCTTATAATTTCATATTCCAGCATGTTCTAAATGGAGGAGTGACCGGCATGATGAATTTTTGCACTAAAACAATAGTCATGGATGAAAATTAGTAGGAATTAAACACGTGGACCAAAACTGTCATTTTGCTAATACACTCATGGATCAAAATTGGTATTTGCTTGATATAAGAGTTAAGCAATCTATTTTCAAAAAAAAAAAAAAGAGTTAAGCAAAAGCAATCTAATTTAGATGTAAAGGCGTTCAATTTAGAGATGTGCAAAGGGCATACCATAAGGAACTGGGAAACGCTTGAGAAGGTAGTATTCTACGACAGACATTGATGAGGAGAACATCATTGCAAAGGTAGCAGTGGCACTTGAAACCTATACAGAAAGGAGAAATAATATCAAGAAAGAGCTCGTATGTGATTCTAGCTCTTCACACATCCAGTTATCATATAAAGGAAAAGGACTAACAAACATATAAAAAAAAAAATGTAAACTGAACAGAACAGATAAAGCAGAATTCCACAATCCACAGAAATACATCCTGTTTGTGGTTGTTGGCAATATTATAGGAAAGAACATTCTATGAGCATTTGAGTCAAAATTATACAGACTTTCCACAGCTAACACACCAATCTCTTGTTTTCTGCAATTTAAATCCAAAACTTATAACAAGTTTTGAAATGCAAATATGCACCGCTTAGCATCAATCAATTTGTTTCCAAGTAATATAAGGCCTTTTTTATTTTTATCCTAGCTCACTCATGATTGGACTGAAAAGGATAATAGAAAAAGGAAACACTCAAAATCAGAGTGGAGTTTAGAATAGCTCTTTCTAGTTAAAGATGGCTGTGGTAGACATTATTTTAATGAAAGTAATCACATATGCAAAACTTTAATGGATAAAAAAGGACCAGAGGAAAGGGTAAGTGGCAGATGATTAAAATGAATGCAAGAAATATGTCTCCTATAGTAGTATGCAGATCAAACGACAGGCAATACAGTTGGCTTTCTTAGCATCACAACTTGACTATATCCAGCAACAAAAAAATGTGAGCACACCATCTCTCAAGAAGTGCAATGTTGGAAGCAGAATGCAATCATATCACTATATCAGGCCTATAGAGAGCCAAAAGCAAAATTGTTGCAGTACTTCACCAATCATGCTCCACACAGCCAATTAAGTTTTAATTTGATAGTTGAGATCCAAACATAGAAGGACAAGACCAAGAAAAAAAAAACCCAAAGAAAACCTCAGGCTGCCAAGTTTGACAAGCTTAAACTGTATATTGTGGTATTTTTCCAGTAATAAACATTTGAGAAGCCATTATTTATTTCTCTACAGCACAATAGGATATAACATGAACTCACCTGCGGAGGGACACCCAGCTCCAAGAATAGTGGACCCATTATAAACCCTCCACCTAGACCAAGCAACCCCCCAACAACACCAGCAATCATCCCAAAGAAGCAGTAAACAATCAGTTGCCCTGCTCGCAAGTTGGAGCCTGAATCACCCTTGGATGAGATCTTTCTCCACCCTTTATACAGGCCAGTAGCTTCAAACAAAGCTACCCCAAGAGAAACTGGGATCTGCAGTACATTGCAAGGTCATTTATTTAACACAAAGTTATACTCTATTTTTTTATGTAGTGTTAGGTAAGGCCCAGGAAACAATGACAGGCTTCATGGTGGTTGTGTTTGGTTAGGTAATACCAAAAGTGAAGCACATATATTCCTAATTTGGCACAAACAACATACCTGCAACAAATTCACCACCCAGTATAGAGTTGAACAAGTTGATGTATAATTCTGTTACCAAAATACAAGGCTGGTGAGTTCAAAGGATTGCTGTACTGCAGAAATATAAAGAGCAATATCCAATAGCAACTGAAAGGATGAAAGAAACAAAACCTTGACGATCTGCAGAGCAAGAAATGAAACCCAAACAAAACAGAGAAGTCCAAATTCCTTCCAATAAACATTCTCAATAATAGAGACCTAAATATGAAAAAATATATATATGTTAGAGGTTTAAAAAATCTTGGGAGAATAGCATCAAATTAAATTACCTGTTTTTCAGAGGACTCCTTGGCTGTGTCTTGAGTGCCATTGCCAGGGCCACCAGGAAGAAGCTTGTACTCTCCTTGTCCACCACTTCCTGACAGATTGTAACATGCAAATGTATAATAAAAAAAACTCACAGCTTTAATCTTTATTATAAATTTATTTAAAAAATAATAAAAATAAAAACAAACAAACAGAAAGCAAGATCCTTTAAG